AAACATGTTTGTTTGTTTGGGGTTTGTTGTTGTTTTGAGGGATTTGTTTGATGTGGTTTGGTTTGGTTTTTTTGAGACAGCGTCTCATTATGTAGTTCAGAGATCTCCAGTGATCAAATCATGAAACCATTGCTGCTCTTCATGGGAAAAATCTGTTGAGATTGGAATGTTCTTGAAGGTACTCATTTGGCTCTCAAATATCCAAGCTGTCTTCTTGGTATTTCAGCCCAAGCTGGTGGTCTAAAGCCCCTCCATTCATGGTCCCGTCATGGTATGGGACGCAGCCCAAGATTTAAGTCAGACAAGCCACAGGCAAACAGACCTGGACAACAGACAGAAATAAAGATCCAATAAATAAACAAATAAGTAAATTTTAAAAACCAAAGAAGCAGAGATTTTAAAAAAGAAAAGAAAAAAATTTACAGTGCCGCTCTGAAGCCTCAGGCATCCAGAAAACACAGGGCTGGTCCCAATAGGGCTTCTACTGCCCAACCGCCCTGCAAGTTCACTATGAGTGAAGTCAGGAAAATAAATGTAAAGTCTTGGGAAAGGAAGCATCTCTCCACTGCAAATAACGGATTTTCTGAAGTCTGAGACTCAGTGGAGACACAAACATGACAGCGTCTCCGTCTTCTCCAACTCATCAGCTGTCTGCACCATCACCTACCCCTCTTCCCTCCAGTGTCAGTGAGGGTCATCTGTGCTCTCAGCAGCCGGACAAGTCAGAGATAATTGTCCGCTCTGGCTCCTTTCTTCTACCCTACTTAAATGAAAAAAAAGAGAGAGAAAGAATGTTGAACAGACAGCCATTGAATGAAAAAGCAGGACCACACCTCTGCCTTTCCCTAAATTCCCCAAGCCTGGCCTGGGAGTAGAGGGAGGTGAAAATTAAGCCGGATTTGCGACACAACAGCCACAGTCTGTGTGTTGTGCATCCACAGATCAACAAACCATGGACTGAAAAACATTTGAGGCGGGAGGATCACTATGTGTTCAAGGCCAGCCTGAACTACATAGAGAGAACCTATCTCAAAATATCAAGAAAGAGAAAAGAAAGAAGAAAGAAAGAAAGAAAGAAAGAAAGAAAGAAAGAAAGAAAGAAAGAAAGAAAGAGAGAGAGAGAAAGGGGGAGAAGGAAGAGACATTTGAGAAAAAAATTGAATGCGTATTATTTACATAACATTTACATTGTTCTCACTATTGTACATAATCTAGGGATGATTTTAAATATATGAGAAGAAGCCATAATAGTGATACACACCTGTGATCTTAGCTTTCTGGGAAACTGAGACAGGAGGATCACGATTTGGAACCCAACCTGAGCAATTTAGAAAAATCCTGTCTCAAAAAAAAAAAAATTTTAATTAAATTTTAGAAAACCAGGTGTGGGGTTGTGTGCCTGTGATCCCAGCACTCTATAATCCCAGCACTTAGAGGCTGAGGCAGGGGATCACTGTGTGTTAGAGGTAGCCTGAACTACATGCTGTAGTGAGACTCCATATGCAAAATAAACATACCAAAAAAGGGTTGGGGATGTAGCTCACTGCAAAGGCCCTGAGTTTAATCCCCAGTATGGGAGAATGAGGGAGGGGGGCATGTCAGAGTATTTGTATGCAATTTATGCACATCTTCTCAGTTTTTTTGCTTTTCAAGGGAGTTTCTTGGTTGTTTTGTTTTGTTTTGTGACACAGAATCTTAGTTCAACTTGGTACTGAACCTTGAACTCACTATGTAACTCAGACTGGCCTCTAACAGGCAGTGATCCTCCTGCCTCAGCCTCACAAGTACTGAGATTATAGGCATGTGTCACCACACTCATTTCATTTTTGTTTTGTGGCATGAGGGTCAAACCCATCACCCTGAACTAAATCCCTACCCCCTCACACACACTTTTTGACATAGGAACTC